TGTAAATTGTGAAGGGACTGTACTAAGGTGGTCGCTATGAGCAGGTGGCCGCTCTGCACAGGTTGTCGTTAACACAGGTTTGACTGTAATAATTATATTAATAATTAAAATTATCTTTCTGTATCTTACATGTATTCACCTAAAAAGTAAAATAAGTTGTGGTGGACACATGAATGATTATCAGGGGAAGATTTTTTTTTATAAAACTCTAATTACTATATTATATAATATACTATATTATATTTTTTATCATTAGTGAGAAGCTTGATAAGTGGAAGGCTGAAAGGGATAAGAAAAGGGAACTTATAAGAAAAAACAAAAGGCCAGAATGGAAAGGTGGTGGCATTGCCACACCATCATGTAAACCACCATCCATTACTAAGAGTACAAGCACTTCAAAGATGGCCCGTAGTTCAACAGCAAAGCCCCAAAAATCTAGAAAATCGTTATTTCAAGAAGAGACTGTCAGCAATTCCAACAAGCCAGCTCGGGAACCAAATACTATTGACCACTGTGCTGAGACTGCTCTGAATGTGGTTGACATTCCTTCTGTTGCGCCGCACAATTTTGTGAGATTCATGACACCAGTTCGGAGAAGCCCACGTATTCAGTCAATGCAGAGTTTGGTGACACCAAGTGAATCAGTTGTACACAACTTAGGTGGCGAAGACTACAGAAATAAAAATCTTGAAATGAGGTAAGATAAAGTATTACATGTATGATCTAATATGGCCGGGTTTACTCTTTCTGGTCCATGTGCTCTTTAAGTCATTTTAATGTGTGTGTAAATTCAAGCCTGTTACCGTACAGTTTATGGCAATTGAACAATCTTTTAAATACAGTGTTAAAACAAAATTTACCCCAAATAAGGGAAATGTTTAACATTCAAAAAAGTGCAAATAAATTTGAGCGAATGCAGAAAAATCACTTATTTGAGAACAGTGAATATTGTTTTCAGTGCATGATGTAATGATAGTATTTTATTTAATACCTCATACGTCCAATAAGAGTTCATTCTCTGTACACTGTGAGATCTCATGAAATGTGCGAATGGCTCAGAATAAACGTCTCCCACAAAAATGTTATGAATTTAATTGAATTTTTAATAATTAAAATGCCTATCTTTTAGAGGGGAATATGGTGTTGAGATACCGTCACTTTGTCAAAACCGACCAGAAGCATATGTATAGCACATTATTATTTTGCAGTATTTTTACACCATTACAGCGCTGTGTTTGTCCTGTTTTTACGTTCAATTTCATGAACACAGGATCTCGCACTGCGGCAGTGAACAGGAAATGGTCAATTTAACTTTAAGTTTGAGGTTCAGAGTAGTGATAGCGCATAGTGACAAACTTGAATCTTTTATGAAACATTCAGATGACCTGTTTGTTTATCTTATTTCTTCATTGGTGCAAAGTCGCAGTGTGACTTTGGAACGACTGAGTCAAAACAAAGACGTCTTTTCTAATGTCTTTGATCAAAACAAACAAACAGTTACAATATCCTATAATGAAACCTGTGTGTATTATTTTCTTAGCAAAAGATTAGAGCTGTGGTTGGCAGCAAAGGGTAAGACGCCGTCTAAATACAGAAACCTGATTGGCTTTGATTCCAAGTTGACTGCGGTACAGAGAAGGCAGGCATATACCAGACAGGGATGCACAATGGCAACTGACAGCCTTGATGACAGTCGCATGACTGCAGTATACTTGGCTGATGGTGGCAATGATGCAAGAAAAGAAGCTCTTTGTGTTCTTGAAGATACTTTGGATGATTGTTTTACTCTGCTTGAATCAGTATGTATAAGTATCCCATATGATGGTACTGTAAATTTGTTAATTATTCACCGAGTTTTAATTTCTCTATTTTCACTGATGATTAAAATCTGCTAAATTAAATCCATGTAGACATGTGAAATTACGATAAAAGTCATTGTTTTACTGAAAAATATGTGAATAAAACTCATTAAATATGCTAAAATTATCAAAATAGTGAAATTATAAATAGCATTACAAATTAATGTGTGTACAGTAAAAGAGGCAATCAATATACATTGTAGATAATGTTGAGTTTTGTCTGGTATCAGGAAAGGACGCCTCAATTTTCAAGTCCATGGGTAACTTAAGGTGTAGGTAAATAGCATCCAATCAGAGAACAGAAATACAGTTATGTCCCTTTAAATAGGTTCTATGTACAACCCTAAAGATCACACCAGTGACAAGGGATTGCAAATTGTGTTCTATGGTGGGAAAATATGAGAGCGCCCTCTTGAGATTTCATTAGGAATGTATTTGTTTATTACCACATTTATTTCATGGTGTGGCAAATTCACTATCAATTATTATTATTTTTTTTAATGTAAGCAAGTTGTACTCGAATTTCATTGCAAATTGGAAATCGTGCAGCAATTTTTCTCCCAGGATGAGTTTTAGAGTACTGTAAACCGCATACTTTTCACTATTAGGATTCTGGAATTTCTATGATTTGACAAGTATTATGGCATTTATGAAGAAACATTTTCACAAAAGTCAGTGACACTCTTTCATAGAACCTCAGAGAAATTTTCAGTGCAGTTAAATTTCTTTTATTTTCACTGATATAAATATGTGAAAATTTGTCTCTTATGAAATTAAGCTGTTCATTTCATTTTGACCCCCCCCCTTGTTTCTTGTAGGAATGTCCAGTCAGCAAGGTCAAGGAATGGTTGTCCAGTATCTGTGGTCGTATTCCATTGGCTTTACAGTCTGCTAAATACTGGATATGTCGAGCTAAGATTGCCGAGATGGATAGTGATGATATACACGATGTTATCGAATGCTATGAAATGGCTGTCAAACATGGAGCTGAGGTGAATGGCTTTCACTTTATTGTACTACCGTACTTAAATTGTATCAATAACTAAATCTCGCTTTGGTATATTGTGTGATTTATTGTGATTATCAAATCCCTATATACATGACGTTGTGTCTGTTGTCAAAATGAGTCTTATGTTAATTGTCCCAGCATCCAATAACTGCAGTGTATAGTTATATGTACATTGATTAAAACAAATATAATAATGTCAATACCAAAATCTTAACTGAGTTATTATTTTTCCACAAAACTTTGCCAATTACATATTATACTCTTAATATTTCTTAGTTCAGCTGGGAAAAATACTACGAGGTGAAGATTAGTAATGATATAATTCTTTATGATATATGTCACAAGTATTTATTATTTGTTTTATCATTACAAAAAATGATAAGAAAACAAATACAGTACAACCTACATTAAGGACTAACCTCACAGAAACTAATTTCAATTCATTGAATATATTCTTTCAGCGAGTGTCCACTTAAAGGAGACTTTCATAGTTGTGAATGTTTCATAAAGCACAACAGTCGTTCCATTCAATATATTTCCTGTGCCATGTATACAATGCGTATAAGAGCCAGTGCTTATGTTATGATGATGAATGGCACTTTAACATCCTATGACTTTCTATACTTACAGCCCATCAAGGACATTACAACAGCATTGACTGAATTTGTGTTAAAAACTAACACTAACAAAAATAAGGAGAATCAACTTAGTGATACAGAAGAGAATGAAGACCTTTTTGCAAAGACACAACCACTATCACCGCAGTTGACAGAAGCAGGCCCACTGTTACAGTCAATGGAAGCAGACCCTCTGTCACCTGAGTTAATTGGCCCGTTATCACCTCGTTTGGCAGGTCATGCATTAGATTCAGCTGCAGATATTGGATCTGGTCCAAGTCCGAAAATGTTAAAGTTGACACCACCAGCATCAGCCTCAGAGTTGATAACTAATGTTGGCAAAACCAAGGACATGTCAGTCCCGGAGAGACCCTCATCTACAGTCAAATATTGCATCAGCAAAACTCCATTGTTCAACAGGTGAGATATACAGCAATCTTTAAATTTAGTCAAGGGTGCTTTCAGTCGAGTGTCTGCTTAAGATATTTCTGCATAGAATATTTGTGGCAATATGGGTGTACCGGTAACACAAGACAGTTAGCTGTTCTCTTAGACAAACCTTTCCTATTCCCAGTGGAGGCATTATGTATGCACCAAATACTTATACAAATACTTATTTTTGTTGTACATTACAAGTTTCATCTAGAATTTTTTATCAACATAGATTTAATCAGGGGTATTTCATTTTAAAACAACTATCATTTCCTACAATATGTTTTGGAATGTAATGGTATGTGAATGTAAACTATCCCTCAAACCAAGCAAACATGTAACTGAGTATCTATACTTCTCCACTATGCGATAAGAAAATTGTCATAGAAGCGTATCTTAAGGGTACCATATTCATCGCATCTGGTCACCTAACTCTCCAGTTATTTTGCTGTTTTGACCTGGCTGCCTAGCTTGCCAGTAACTTTTTAGCTCCGCTGTCGACTTTGTCGAGCGGAGCTTATCATATGAGTGATTGTTCGTCGTCGTTGTCGTCTGTGTCAATGTTTTACTTTTTCGACTTCTTCTTGAAAACTACAAGCCTGAATGCTTTGATACTTGGTGTATATGTACCTTGGGTAGACCTCTCTCAGATTTGTTCATTTCATGATGATATCTTCAATTCTCTAATTTTGGTGAATATTTTTGTCATTTTTGGTAAAAAGTGATATTTTCGACTTCTTGTTGAAAACCGCAAGTCCAATTGCTTTGATATTACAAATATAGGTACTACATGTGGACCTCTCTCAGATTTGTTCATTTCATAATGATATCTTCAATTCTCTAATTTTGGTGAATATTTCTGGTAAAAAGTAATATTTTCAACTTCTTGTTAAAAAACGCAAGTCCAATTGCTTTGATAATACATATATTGGTACTACATGTGGACTTCTCTCAGATTTGTTCATTTCATGATGATATCTTTAATTCTCTAATTTTGATGAATATTCTTGTAATTTTTGGTAAAAAGTGATATTTTCGACTTCTTGTTGAAAACCGCAAGTCCAATTGCTTTGATACAAATGTATTACATATATTGGTACTACATGTGGACTTCTCTCAGATTTGTTCATTTCATGATGATATCTTTAATTCTCTAATTTTGATGAATATTCTTATAATTTTTGGTAAAAAGTGATATTTTCGACTTCTTGTTGAAAACCGCAAGTCCAATTGCTTTGATATATTATACATATAGGTACTACATGTGGACCTCTCTCAGATTTGTTCATTTTCTAATGATGTCTTCTGTTCTTTAATTGCCATGTGCATTGCTAACAGCGGAGCTATCTCAGCCGACAGGCTGCTTGTTTTGTTTTGACCTGGCTGCCTAACTTGCCAGTCATTTTACTGTTTTGATTTGGCCACCTAATTTGCCAGTAATTTTGCTGTTTTAACCTGGCCTCATAACTTTAACTAATGTTTCCATTCAACTACATTAGAATAAAGTTGAGCAAACGTCTGAAATAACAAGATATTTCCTAGCTCCGGGAAACAATATAAAAAGCAGAACAGTAAAGTGACTAACTATTCAGTTTGCCAATTGAAATATCTGATTATATTAGTATCACTCACGGTATATGGAATCAGTTTTCTCATATTGAATTGTTTTTTGTATTACAGACTCCATAGAGCCTATGGTGAGCGTGTTCCTATCACTCCTGTTGCTGTGATCACACCAGTGCGACGGTCGGTAAGACTTGATCGACCCAACTCATCATTACCCGCCGCTCTTCAAGGCCACGATGTCTGCGTAAATTCCTTGTCTCAGCTGCCTTT